AGCGCCGCCACACCGCCCTCACCCCCGTGACGAACCGCCTCCCGCCAGAGCCGCCGCCAAAGGCCGTAGCCAATCGGCGAGCAGCTTCCCTGCGACGTCGCTAGTCGGAGGCCAATCCAAACTCCTCAAAGCGCCCGCTCCGGCAGGACAGCCAATGGCAGGGCACTGCTCAGGGAGCGGGGGGGCGTTCGTCGCCGCCGGGGGGTGGCACGAGCGCCTCGGGGCGGGGCGCTACCCCAGCAGCCACGGATCCTCCGCAGCGCCGCGGCCAGCTGAGCCCTCCCCCTGCGCGGCCCTGCTCGCTGATTGGCTATCGCGCTTCCTCGGCCGAGGAATACGGGGGCGTGACTGAGGCACGGACGCCCCGCGTTTCCGGGTTGCGGGGAGGGAGGGGGCGGCAATTCCCCTTGCGCATGCGCCTCGAGCGCCCAAAAGGGGTGGGGAAGGAATAACACGACAGCCTTAAAGCCCAAGCCGGAGGTGATTGGCTGGGAAGTCCGGAGCCAGTGTTCTATTGGGCGCCTGGGGCGGGTGCGCGGAGACTGGCGGCTCCCTGCTTTCCATTGGCCTTGCGCCGTGCCCGTTCCGAAGGGCCCGGGCGGTCATTGGGTAGCGGCGGTGCCAGTCCTGAGGCGGGGGAGAGAGTAGCGGTGGCGGAGTTTGAGGGGGGGGGGGGGGGGGAGGGGGGAGAAGATGTCGGGCTGCGAGGCCTGCGACGCCAAGAAGCTGGTGCGCTCGCCCAGCGGGCTGCGCATGGTGCCCGAGCACCGCTCTGCCCGCAGCCCCTTCGGCTTGGACGAGCCGCCCTGGGTGCCTGACAAGGAGGTATCGGTAGGGGCGGGGGCGCCGCCATTTCATCCTCGGGGGAGGGACGGGGGGGCTCCCCCCCGCCCCCTCGCCAGCCCCACCGGCTCCTCGCGGCGGCCGGTTGCCCCGCGGGGGTCCTCGCCGCCTCAGGGGGCCCGCTGCCCCGGCGGTGGCCGGGGACGCGCCTCGCCTGGCCGCGACCGGTCGGATGGGTTGAGATGGGGCTTCTTCCCCTTTCTCGCACGCCGCCGCGTTTCCCGGCACCTCCCGCTCTCCCTCCGCCGTCGCTGCCTGCCGGGGCACGGGGGGTGGTCGCAGCGGCTGAGGGGGGGCCCTTTGCAGCGCGGGGGGGGTTGCCAGCTGGCCGCCGGGACGCGCGCCGGGGTGGCGGGGCCGGCCCGGCTCTCCCGCCCGCCCGGTGCTGAGGGGTGCCGGGCAGGCTCGGCTCGCCTCGGCGACCGACCGGGCAGCGGATCGGGCTGGCCCGGGTGCGGTTTTTGTAGTTGTGAACCACAGGTCTTTTTACTTCGGTGGGAGCAGTGGACTGAAAAGGATAGGACTGTTACTCGTTCTTCGGGGGTGTGTGGCCCTGTCGCAAAAAATAGCGAGGAACTTAAAAGTGTAGTGAGCCATGCAGCGTTAACGTTTAGTGAAGCGTTCTCTTTTAAGTGCTTATAAAGGTAATTCTGAAGACCATGTTGATTTAAAAAAAAAAAAAGATGCAAAGTGTTAATAAGGCGAAGTTAGAACAGCCCTTCTGGCTCCCAGTGTGAATGTTCGTAGTGTTAAATGAGTATTGAATAACTTGGACTGTTTCAGTCGACTTTGCCTTTAAATAGTTTTCAAGTAAACTATGTGATCACGATGTTCTAGTAAATTTCATGTGATGTGCATTATTTATTACCAGTCCATACAACTAGATGCTAATACAACTTAGAATCGTTTGTTTGTTTGTTTATTTGTTGCCAGCCTTCTGTGGTGTGGATGCATGCCAATGCATTTAAATGTGGCCAGAATTAAGATTTATTTTAGATGAGCCAATATGAATTTAGGCAGGGAGTCATTAAACAAAGTCATTCTTTGCCAGACACTGACATGGTTGGTCTGTTTTGTATGGGAATGCTATGTCCTCCTTGGTTAGGAATGAGGAAGAAAATTTTGCTCCTACCTGGTATCTCCTGAGGCAGAAAGTTCTGTGTAAAAGTAGTAATTCTGGAGACTTGCTCTGCTAGTACAGCTTCTGCAGCTCAGACTAACCTTTACTGGCATAATGTGCATGACTCGTCAGTCAGTTGTTGGTTTTGTCCAAAATAACAACCCTTTTTTGGAAGGTGACTTTTTCAACTTATTTCAAACAAGTGGTCTGCTAAAATATCTTGTAGGAGTTTTATCAAGTTACTCTGTTCCATACTCAGGGAATAAAAAAAAAAAAAAAATAAAAAATCCTCCCTGTCATCAGTAGCAACTGGTTATCTGTCTTATACAAAGTGTAGGTAAGATAAAATTTTCCGTGACCGGAGCTGAGTGTCATTTGAAGCTATCAGTGCTCAGCTCTCAGTGCTCCCACCTACTTGGCACCATACGTGGTGTGGTGCACTGGGTGTGTTGCAGATGGGGTGCCTATTTATCAGGGAGCATGTAGCAAAATCTGAGCAGTTATTGTGCAAGGGGTTCTCTTTGCATTGTGTAGAGTCAGCTTTTGCTGTGCCCTGCGTGCACTGACTTGCACCACCTGGAAACATGATTCCTGGCATCATCATCATCAACGGATAGAATTTGTGTGTAACAGTTAAATTGAAGTTAGTTTTCTTCCTGACCTTCTGAAATGTAGTTTTATATTTCAGTAGTCTTTGATTATAGCAGACGAGTTTCATTTAAAAAAAAAAAAAGTAAGGTACTTCTAACTCATTCTAATACATAGTACCATCTTAATTCAGCTAAAGTTTTTTTGAGGATTGTGGTAGGATTTATTTAAACTAGTTAGATATATTTAAGAATTAAGTCTGTATATTTTAGATACATCAGTCTGATGTGCGTTGTTAGTTTGAATTTTATATTACAGTTGTACTGCAGGTATTCATTCTCCTTAGAATTCAACTTTTCCCTTCTAATCTGTTGGTCAATAGGCTGATGGTGTTGATTTGTGACTGAATGTTGCCTTTTATCAGACTCAGATATTTGCTATTGAGAGGAAGTGTATTATAGGCAAACATTTTAAATGCATTTGTTAATTCATATTCTTTATCTTGCAATATTGTTGTTTTGTAAAAAGTTATTTTACTAGATTTCTTGAAGTGTGTTGAAGTTCTGACATCCCTTTGATTAATGTTTACCAAATAAGTTAAAGACTTCTTCCTTAAATAAAGCAGGTACATAATATACAGGGAAGCTTACAGAATCCATGTTTTTATTAATAAAATGAAATTTAAAGAGATAGTGTTACCTAGTTAATTAATTCAGCAAGAACTCTTGCTCTTGTTACCATATCAGACATAATTAAAAAAAAAAACGTGTTCTTTGCCCAAGACAAGGGACTGGTATTAGCAAATGTTGATCTGGCTTTTCAAATATGCTGTCTTCTGCTGTGCAGCCAGTAACAGTCACAAATTCAGTCGCTTTATTTTTCTTATGCAGGAAGAGTCTACTGGCTTATTTTTTAAAAGTAGAGCCACCTAAAAATTACAGCAGTTAGCAGTTTTGTGAAACTTCTTTAACACTGAAATACATTTCAATTTTTTAACTTTATGTCACAAGATTATACAGTCTTAAAATATCAGTTCTTTTGAGGAGTTTGAAGTGTAAGACTGAAGCAGGACTACAGAAAACTTTCCTTTTGGTAGTCTTATTTATAAATAATGAGGTGGATAATAACATGAAAATTTGTGCTGAGCATCATTAAACTTGAGACAGAGCTTAAAATGTTGGTCACTGCATGTGCCTTGTCTAACCTGGAATTTCTTTGTTAATCAGCAGCAGAGCTCAACTGATGATGTTCCTATTAAGGAAATGTCGGACTAGAAATTGAGTAAAATTTGTATGTTCAAATGCAGAGGTGGCCAAACCTCATGACATCCAGCTGTGTACCAGATCTTTATGTGGCTGAGGAACGCTGTGTGCCTCAGAGCTTGGGATGTGCAAGAGGAGCTCACAGATGTGGTGACCGTGATTCCCTGGGGCTCCTGAATTGCTGCGGGAGGGAACTGAGCTTTATGTAGCTGGATTCTCTGTTGGCTCAGGCTCTTGGAGCTGGCACTAGTTGTGTGACAGGGCTGTGCTCGGACTGCTGGTGAGTTCGTGTAGCTGAGGCAATGAATTGGCCTTGTACAGTTGTAATATCAGAAAGCATCATGAGCCATATCTGCCATATGTTTGCATTGTGTTGTTTTCCACTCTAGCATCAGCTGTTTTGGTTGGGCGTGTTACAAGGTGCAATTTGATGAGCTTGTGAACTTTCACATCTGCAAAAGTTCACTGTGTTAACAAGCTCAACCAGGTGTTACCTTGCATCACTTCTTGAATCGCTTTGTTATTGTATATGCAAATAAAGCATGTGAAGTATAACTATAGCTTCCTGTCCATCTACAGTATTCTCACCTCTGGCTGGATCCAAAGTATTATGCAAATTCATTAGCACATTTAGGCAAACCTGTGGGAAGTTCCACTCTATTTGTAATGAACTAGCTCTTGGTATTTTTAAATTAATACCAAGATCCAATAACTGTTAGATGTTCTTCCATTTTCCTCTTGCTATATGAAGTAATCTGATACCAGTATTAGTGCCATGTTGATTGTATGTGAAACGAACATACTTTTGTGGCATGCATTTTTAATTTCTTTCTTCATATCTTTTTGTTTCCACTTGACAAAAAAATCAGATTTGCACTAGTTTTAAAAACCCTGTATCTTGAAGACACAAAAAGTTAACTCAAACATCATGCTTCCTTCTCTGTAAATGTGATAAAAACCCCTTCAAGCAACAAAGCTTAATTCAATACTCATGCACTCTCTATAATTATGTCAGCATATGGATGAATAGGAAGAATTCACCTTTCAAGATGTTCTTCAATAGAGATCTCTTCCCAGGCAAAGTAGAAGTTGATATTATGCAAATAGATTCACTTGATTCTGGTTACTCAAAGCAGAAGTGCCTTGAAGGAACAGTGTTTCAAGCCTGCTTGTGTTAGAACATTCTGTGGTGCCTACTACTGTATGCCATTCAATTTGTGGTTTATTTATGACCGCTCTATGCATCAGGCAGTGTTACCTGGAATTGAGAAATATTTTTCTTTAGAGTTTCTATTAAATAAGAGGATAGATAATTTTGTTCCTTCCTGAAAAGCAACTTGTATGTTTAGTGTGACAATGTGTATGAAGTCTATTTAGGACAGTGTTTAGAAGAGCATTTTTCCCCCCTAGTTTGTGGCTTATGCTTTCTAATTTCTGGCAAAAAAACCCCATGTTTTCATTAAGAAAATGAGTTAGATGCTTGGTAAATTCAAAGTATACCAAATTCTTACCAGGTCCAGCTCACAGACAAGCTATTAAGCTACACATATCAAAACCTAAAACACTAAATCAAGATCAGTGTGCAGTAAAATGTGGTATTAGCTGTGGAGTGCTACTTGTTACAGAGATGAAACCTGGGGAATGCTGAAGTTGCTTTATGCTGAAGGTTATTCATCAGTGAATGCTAGAATAAGCTTTTCTATAGCCATTGTGAAAAGAGCTGGTTGGATGCCTTAATTTGATATGTTATTTGAAACAATATGGGAACACTTACTTCTGCTTCTTTCTTGTGTGGGATTTAGAAATAGATAGCTTATTGTAACAAATATTGCAAGTAGCTATTTATGTTCCATTACAGTGACTGCAGTTACTCCATATTTGTTAAACTTCTGTTTAGACATCAGAACACTTCATATAAATTATTGCAAATGATCAACAATCTTCTACTTCAAAAGGACATGAAAAGTTTCTAAAGAATTTTAATTTAGCTCTTGTAATACTTTCTTGGCTGTAGTTGTTGAACTTGTGACAGTGATTGAGTATCTGCTGAAGCAAAAGTCCCTGAAATAGACAACAAAAGCTGTTGTAATCTGAAGGAATTTATAGAAGATAAAGGGTTAAGTATTGAAATATGTTAAAGGCAAATGGTTATTACTGTGTTCTTAGCAAATAGCACTGGCTCAGCTTAGGGCATGTTTTTAAGATGACATTCTGCTGTAGTCTGAGATAGTCCGGTTTGAGGAGTTTCAGTTTCTAGAGTTAAGTACAGGATCTAACCATGTTCTCCTGATTCAGATGTCAGGCATAATTTTGCATTAATATTTGCAAATAAACAAGTCATAACTGCATTATAAGCCTTACAGAGTGGTTTTTGATATGGTGGATAAAAATATGTAAAGTCTTGGTGAAAATCCAGTGATCTAACAGCTGAATATCAGCCTGTTGGTAGGTGACTCTCTATAAAGAAAATTTTAATTGTCTGACAATCACTGATCACTTCTGGTAGTTGAGAAAATAAAAACTGTCACCCCTTAAACTCTACTTAGTTGTGAGAGAGGAACTTCATTTTTTTTCTGGCTTTTCTTTTGGGAGGAGTGTGGGTGTAAGCTTGTTTTAGGAAAGAGATATTTCAGGAAGTGACATTTTGTAGCTGGAATAAAAAGTCCTAGTGGCTTGGAAGAAAACCAAGTATCTCCTAGCATGTTTCAAAAATGTGTAAGTATTGACAGCATGAAAATACGTAAACAATGTTTGAGAGAGTCAACAGAGCATACAGTGAGGATGACAGTTTATATAAAAACAGGTGACTCGAATATATGACTATCTCAATAGCTAAACATAATTAAGCATAATAAGTACTTCTGAAATATAGTTTTGACTGCTTGCAAGATGCAGTATTCCTTAGGGTGAATGAGTTTGGCAGCTTTTTTTGTCTTGTTATTTTGCTACATCAATATTAAATGAAAGCCATCCATTGTGAAAAGACAAAGGATGGAAATTTGTTGGAAGTGTTTCTTTTTAGGGCATAACATAAAGCTCAGTCGTTGTATATGGTAGTAGGATTAAAGGTTTAGAAATCTTGTAGATTAATCTTAATTTGTACTGTTTTCTAGTGCCCAAGATGTATGCAGTGTGATACAAAATTTGACTTCATAACTAGAAAGGTAAGAGACATCAATGAAATGTAAAGGATTAACTGTTACAAAATACTAATATGGACTTCTTTTTAAAATGTAGATGATTTCAGCAGAATAGCATGCAAAGTCTGATGTAACTTAAAGTAGTTTTTGTTTCTGTTCTGCCTTTTCTGAGTAGAGGCCATTTTTGTTTTAATTCTGTTTCTTTGAAATTTTTCTTCTTGCTCAATGTGTAGTACATAGAGTTTTTCCAACTTACTGGGTACCCACAGATTCACATTCAAAGGAGGAGTTAGAAGAACTCAGCCTGCAGTGGGCTGCTAATATCAGTACTGACATAGAAACCAAATCAACTAACTCAGCGGTGTTTGGGGAGATAAAATTAGTTGTGGAAATGTAAGCAAACATGTTTTCAGGAGTTATGAATTATAATCTTATATTAAAGAACCATATTGCTAAAGTGTGGAGGACTAAAACTCGGATTCTCCTTCTGTTCTAAAAGTAAAACAGGATTTATCTCAGGTTTGGGAAAGGGAATTTCTGATTAAAGTAGAAAGTGTAAACCGCCTTGATTGCTGTGAGCCATAATTAGGCTCGCTATATGAAGAAAACCCACTAACATTAGAGTTACATTATGTTCCTGCATAAAAGTAACCAGGTCACTGTGGAATGCATGCTGGTGTGCAGAATACTACTATCAGAAAACATTCTGCTGATATTGAGGTTTCTGCATGGGGAAGGAAAGCAGCCTCCCAAAAAAGGCCAGCAATGATTTTTAGCAGGGAATGTCATTCCTTTGTATGTTGTTTGGAGGGAGGGGGAAGGAGAAATTGTAAACCAGGCATTCTAATATGTTATACCAGATAGGTATACATTTTCAGGAGGCCTGAAGAGCATTAGGATGTCAGTTAGTGATCCTAGTAATAGACTAGAATAGACTATTTCAGTTGGAAGGAACCTACAATGATCATCTAGCCCAACTGCTTGGCCAGTTCAGGGCTGACCAAAGCTAAAGCATGTTGTTAAGGGTGTTGTCCAAATTCCCCTTAAACACTGACAGGCTTGGGGCATCGAGCACCTCTCTAGGAAGCCTGTTCCAGTGTTTGACCACCCTCTCGGTAAAGAAATGCTTCCTAATGTCCAGTCTAAACCTCCCTGGTGCAGCTTTGAACCATTCCCATACGTCCTATCACTGGATACCAGGGAGAAGAGATCAGCACTTCCCTCTCCACTTTCCCTCAATCACAGAGTATACTTTCTCCTAGTTCTTGTTTTAGTTGGATGGGTTAAGAGCATTGTGGTTGGTTGGTTGGAGTGTTTTGGTTGAGAAGCACTAATTCATTAGGCTGCTGTGTTTTACTTGTGTTAGCTTTGGGAAGTAAATGGAGGTAGCCCTGGGAAATAGGTACTCCAGAGAATTTTGCATAATATATGGAAGGAAAGCCTAACACTGACCAAAACTGCAGTGTATCGGTTCTTTGTATCAAGCTGTTCAAACTTGCTTTGAGCACAAATCAGTTCCTGCTTGCCTGGGAATACTTGTTCTGACATGAGAACTTGCATCAGGAAGACCTGCTGGGACTGTCACACCCCAGTAGTGATTTGGAGCACAAGCCACTTGTTGCAGATTTAGTAGCTGTGAAACACAGTGTAATAACTAGTTCTGATTTTGCAACTTCATTGGATTTGTACTATGCTACCTGGTATTTCTGATAGAGAAATAGCTTTAGGCTTTAAGTATGAAGATTTTTATCTTTTTCCATGGGAAAAACTTGAGAATAAGTTTTGAGAGAAGAATAAGATCTCCAGTTGAACTTTCCCAAGATCTTTGCTTGGAAATGGGAAGGGACCTAGAAACGACGCTTCTCTTGTGTTTTTTATTGACAGTAAGGTGAAGGATTTACTGGACACTGGAGAAACCCTTTCAGTGTCTTGTCTGGTCTGTGTCAGAAGCATGTTCACAGAGTGCCAACAAAGACTTATAGTGCTGTTGTTCATATATGCTCAGTCTTTTGTCTTCAATCTTCAGAGATTTCTTTCTACTACTCTAGCAATTAAATTTCCTTTACCTATCCCTCAACTTGTATGTTTCACACCTGAGAAACTGTTCAGTTTCTTGGGGAGGAGGATATTTAATGTGGTAACTTCTATCAAATTATTCCCTAACAGTTTCCTTCGTAAATAAATAAATAAAATGTTCTCTCATGCTTAGCATCACTGCAGAAGGTGTGGAAAGTGTTTCTGTGACAAGTGCTGCAGTAAAAAAGTGCCTCTGCCTCGCATGTGCTTTGTGGACCCTGTGCGGCAGTGTGCTGAATGTGCCCTCATCTCTCAGAAAGAAACAGAGTTTTATGACAAACAGCTTAAAGTACTCATGAATGGTAAGGACTGAATGCATATATAAGCTGGTTTGATCTCATTTATATTTATTCAAATGCTGTGTTAAACAAATCTGATAAACAGCAAGAGTAATGCCTCTTGTCAAACAAGCTGCAGTTGTCTCCTTTAAATACTGTTTTGTTGTCATGCTTTTTGTTTGCCAGTTAATAATTCTGTGTTATGAGTTTGTTTAGAGATAAGTTTACACTTTTAGTTTACAAAGAGTGATTTAATTAAAGACAGAGGAATTTTTAATGCCTCTGAGAACAGATGTGTGTGCAGTTGGCATTTTTATTAAAATGATGCATCTTCTGGCCATATTCCTGTCACGTTAAATAGGGATGAAAAATAATTTACAGTAGAGAATATTTTAGTATTCTCTAACGAGATACAGTGCTTGTTTCAGGCTTCATCTGTGAGCTTTGATCTTGTCCATGGCCTACAGCTATGGCTGATGGCATATCATCATGAGTGGTCAATTTTGCATAGCATTAAAACTACATGCAATACAGTAATTTGTGTTCCAATTACATTAAGAAAGCTGAGTCTTCAGTTTATAAAATCTTCTGTGATCGTTCGGTGCCTTTTGATGGGCTCTCAACTCTCAGCATGATGCCAATGTGTATAATTGGTAAGCTAAACCACAAGTCTGATTAGCATGAATGTTCTTAGGGAGATTCTAGGTTCAGAAAGGAGTATGTGCATCCCTGTAACACACAAATCATTCTTCACTCTGCAAATGAGGGTGTAGAAGAGTTTTTAAATAATGTATTTTCAACAGAAGACTTTTTTTAAAGTTTGTCCTGCTTGCATTCGTGTTATGAAATTGAAGTCTGAAGTTGTTCCTGGCTTGCAGTAGAGCCACAGATCTCAGATGGTGGTTGTGATGATCTTGGCAGTTTTGTGCTGTTGCCTCTCTGTTGCTTCAGCAGCAGCCTGGGGGCCCATGCTGAGGGGCCAGTGAGACTGTGCAAAGCTGTGAAATAGGCAGCAAGGTGAAGCTGTCTGAGGCCACGTGGTTCAGATAATGGAGATGGACTGCAGACAATTTGGCAGGGCTGTATGTTGTTATTTTTTTTCATTTCCCAGACCAACAGTATTGGGATTAGGTAATACAGGGAGCATGAGGCATGGGGGAAATAAAGTGGTTAGGCGTGTAGTCTGCTTTATATTAAGTTATGAATCACTTCACTAATGTAGCTAAGATGACTTTCCTGATGTCAAAGGAGCTGTTTTGAGCAGGAAGAAACATAACATGAAGGCTGAAGTTCATTGACCTCAAAGTAAGACTGAACTAGCCTTCAGTAATGAAAAAGAGGTGTGTTTACTAAGTGTAGAGCTGAAGGGCACATCCTGCTATTAGATTCTTCTGACAATTTTTTAAATACTGAAACAATAGTTTGTATTATGGTGACAAGATAGGGTTTTTAATTGCCTGGTTTTGCCATCTCCAAATCTGTTGCCATTTTTAAAAGATTAATCTTAGATATCATCTGTATTTCTACAACATGTGGGAGAAATTACATAGCAATTGTGAAAGGTCCTGTGATTCAGAATGTGATAATTAAAGATCAGCTTTTTATACTTGAGTGTTCTGCTGATGTTAATCAGTTTAACATTTCAATTAGTTTCTTAATTCACCCAATTCAGTGTATTAGGTGCAGTAAGTAAAAATCAGTTATCCTTTTTGATACTTGAATGTTCCTTCCTAAACTCTGCATTAGAATACTAAAACATTTCTTTCCAGGTGCTACATTCTTTGTAACTCTAGGATCATCTGACAAATCTGAGCTCATGGTTTGTCGACTTTCCAACAATCAGAGGTGAGAAAGATTGATAGAATTGCACTTGTAAACTGTATTGTTGCACATACAGTTTTATTATTATCTAATAACCTAAACAAAATAAGATTAACATGATGTGGGGATGTTGGAGAGAGTAATTGGACTGAAAGGATGGATAAAATTTTATTGGAGTAAGTTTGAATTTACTAGCAGTGTGGATCTGAATGCTTTGGAATGGTGGACCTCCACTCACTGATAATGCCTCTCAGTCCCACTGGAACACAGTATTTTTGCCAGCTAATAGGGGGATCATAGGAAGCGGGGGGCAGGGAAAAATCTGTAGCCACTGAAAAAAGCTTATTTTGGAATGATTCTAACACTGCACTGTATTGCTTAACATTACAGCCAAAGCATTACTTTGGTCATCCCTATAATTTGGTTGGCTAGAACACTTTAGACTCTGTATTCTCTTCTTCCCCCAGAACTTTGGAAGAATGCTTTTAATATTTTGAAAGGGACTCCTGGCAAACTGAACTGTAGGTTTTGTGGGTTTTTTTTTCATTTAAGTGAAGAACTTCAATGAAGAGTAATTTTTCCTGCTTGATTTCTCTCCTTCCCCACCCCAAAGAACATATAAACAGCTAGTCACTGAGAGATTATGGTTTTTTTTTTCCTTTGATTTGGACTTGGTATGGTAGGGAAAAAAAAAACGTTTTTTTTTTAAAAAGTTTTTCATCTGTTATGTAGATATCTGGTTTTGGATGGAGACAGCCACTATGAAATTGAAATTATACAGATTTCAACTGTTCAGATACTTACAGAGGGATTTACTCCTGGAGGTAATTTTTTTTCATTGAATGCAGATTAACTGTTACGAAAAAAATATGTGACTTTGTAATTATTGTTTGAGCTAGACAGTGCATTTCTAGGTTATTGGTAACTTAGGTGTAACTATGTTAGTTACAACTGCTCTCGGAATGAAGTGCAGTGTGTGCAACCCTATCTGTGGCTAGTGGGATTTTGGGGAAAACCTAAGAATTACAGCTGTAATATGGGAGAGCTTCTTGATAAACTTGAGTAAAGGTGGTCATCATCTGTTCTGATCCTTTCTCTTGGCTAAATATAAACATCTATTGATTCAAAAGCTCATAGGAGGGAACTGTTAGTCTTTGGTAGCTTCCATTTCAGAATCCAGCTGGGATTTCTTTTCTACTGGTACAATTGTGAGGAAAGTGAGAGAGAAGCTGGGGGGGAAGGGGGATATAAATACTTAAACTATGCTTTCTTCGCTTCATTTAAAATTAAAGGGTGGCCAAATGAAACTGGTAACACCTGAATCAGAGGGCAGCTACTTACTGCCTCGTCTCTTACCAGATTTTAGAGTATTTCAGGATGAACTTGAATATGATTTCACTGAAATGAGAACAAACAAGGTCAGGAATTTTAATAATTGTTCTCTAGCAACACCTCTGTCACTGCTGGAATTGTCTAATCAGACAGCCTATCTGTGCAATATTCAGTCAGTACAGCATGTTAACTTCAATGAACTTATCTTGGTACTGAAATCAACCAGATTTGTTGCTGAGTTCCTTAATGCTCCTGTAATTCCTTGTTCACTACTCTTCTGACTGCTGTATCTTTTTGCCTGCCTGCCTTCTTGATGGTAGAAAAAGATATTCACACTTACACCAGCCTTCTGGAGAGCCAGCATATTACTGAAGGTATCGCCAGTACCTTTGAGCATGACTCACCTAAGCATGTTGTCATGGCCCCTCTCCCATCTTTCTTCCTCTGCAGTGCTGTTTTTTTGCTTGATCTCTAGCTGTTCAGCTTAAGTTATGTTCAAATCTGACATGTACCTGTCTCTTCCCATCTGTCTGTTTAATAAACTGAGAATGAATGTTTTTTGTAACTTTTTGGAGGAGAACTAAAACACTCAAGGCCGCCTTTAGACCACATGTGCTATTGTCCATGCTAGAAGAGAGAAGGGAAGATGAGAAATAGTATCTTTAGTGGTACACAGTATTACACATCATCTACTTCAGCAGAGGTGTGATGAATTGTGTATACCAGAAATGAATAATATGCTTCTTCTGTACTGTCCAGTAAAGCTTTGCACTGAATAAATAAACTGTTAATTAATGGCTTGCTTTTACACATCTTTAAAAGAAGTAAGACGTCATTATGCAAGGTGTGTTCTGCCTGACTCAGTAATGTCCTGGAATACCAGACATGGGCAAACTGGTCAAGGCTGTAGGTGTTCGATTTCCACTGGCTTATCTTTGAGTAGCCCCTTAATCTGTTACTTTGACCAGGTAGATGTAGGATAAACCAAAATCCAACTTCATCACTTGCTCCCCTGCAAGAGGAGCAAATGGGTACTTCTATAAACACTGCTTGCAGGCTTTTGATCAGGTTGCTTAGATTGAGATTGTCTTTGTTTGGCTGCTTGGGTTTTGCAGTAATGGCCCCCAGGAGCCCTCTCACACACACGCTTCTGTTTAAAATGAATTTTGCAAAAAGTGTCCTTCTGTGTACAGTGGTGCTGTTCCTGGGGCTTAGTTTATGCTCTACTGCTTCAGGAAATAGTGCCAATAAAGAAAGTGTGGTATTCTAAACAAAGCTTTTGTTTCATTTCTGTATTTTTGCTTTGGTTTATCTTAACCTCTATGCAGCTAGAGTAAAAGAGATACAAACATCTTGCTAATCACACTGTTGTCAGAGCAATGTCCTTTGTAGCGGATTTTGTTCAGGAAGCAAATGACGTTGCCTGTCATTATCTAGTCTTGCGTAAGCATCTTTTCCAACCTTTGGAAGGACTTTTGACTGCTATGACAGACTTTGGATCAAGCAGGGATCCCTCTTTTCTATCACTTTTCTAACTGGACACAAGTAATTCAGTTTGCAAACTGCAGGCTACAGTATGAAACTGTGGCATCTACTTAAGAGAAGACACGCTAATACTAAAATAATGAGGGTATTCTTAGTGTGTGTAGCTAGCGGCTTTATCTCATGGCTTGTACAAGTTCTGCCTCAGTGATTGCCAGGGAGAATTGAACGATACTGAGTCTGCACACTCCATTGCCTGGCACTAACACCCATGGTCACTACCTCCTCTGATGTGGCAGTTGTTACTGCAGTTGCTAGCGCTTTGAATTAAGCGATGAGCTAGTTTTCCTTAAACATGCTTATTAGCTAGAAGAAGTTGTGTTACTTAGTTGGTAAAACCTGTTGCTGTTCACGATTTTCTTTCTTTTTTCAGGAGGTAATACTCGTGCCATAGGTATGATTCTGCAGTATAAGGTACCAGGATCAGAGGAGCTAACGCAGATGAAATTTACAGCTAGTGAAGACTTCAGCTGTAACAAGAAGCTGTCAGCAAGCTGGCTGGCAGCTATGCATAAGGTAAGCAAAGGAGGCAAAACTTATAGAAGGCTTTACATAGGGTGCTTAGTAGCACTAAAGAAGCACACAGCCTTAGGAGTCTTTTTTTTCTTTTTTATTTAAGGATTCTAGGGCCTTGTTGCTAAGAAAACAGAAGCTATGGATGGTTGTTGTGAACATGACTTCAGCTTTATGCTCAGATAGCTGAAGGAAGATACACACAACAAAGAGTTTCCCAAGATCTTATGTGTGTTAGGTGAAAAGTAGGAATTGGACTTTCAAGTTCCTTGGGTTTTTGTTACTCACTGAAGAATGTGCATTATGAAATACTCTCTTAAACCTAAACTCAGCTAATAGTTTTTACTACTTCATGAAGGTTCAAAGAAGTTGTTGATTTTTGAAAACGGGAACAGAGGTGGGGGCAGGACCCTGGGGAAGACTTTAATCTTTTGTTGCTAGGCATTGTATGGCTAATGAAACTGAAGTTCCTATTTCATAAGTCAGAGTTATGGGAGACAAAAACCAAAACCACCCCAGCTAGTTCTGGAACTTTGTTTATCCGATCAGTTGATAATTAGAACTGTAATTTATAAGCTGTCTGCAAATGCAAGTGTGTGGCTGTTTGCTACTCTACCACTGTTGTTAAGCTCCCCAGCCACCCCTAACCCCAGCATTTAACTCTGTGTTCAGCACAGCACACTCAAACTTTGTATTGCTGTGTGAGTACAGTTTAGCTCTTCCTTAGACCTGTTCCACTTTGTCTTTCACAAGCAATGCAACTCCTACAAATATGGTGAGAACTGGCACTTCATGGATAACCTTAACACCCTAACACCCTCCCTGTGCCCCAGAGTTGTCTCCTTCGATAGTTCAGTTCGGAGTAACTGACCAGTGCAGTGAGACTTTCAGAGGTCCTAGTTAATACCACATAAAAGGACTTGCAGCTAGAGAATGCACATCTGTTCCTGCTGCAGGGGCTTGATTGATCCTATAGGATGAGACACATGGAACACCTCAGCAAAACTTTGCAAGGAGGAGGCAGAAGGGGTAGGAGGAATATCAGAGTAACTGTTTACTGCATGTGATTAGACAGATTACCAAAATCTCAGAAACTTCTATTACTGCTAGCTTTTCTAAAGGCAGTTTTGATCAGAAAGGGTCATTTCTGACCAAGAAGAAACAGATGTGTTGAGCTAAAGTCTTCAGTGACCTCAGGTTCTGCACTTAAAGTAACCCTGAAATAGTCTCAAAAGTTACTCTAGTGCCTATGTAAATGCTATTAAATGCCTTAGACTAAGGAAAAGAGAGGAAGAATTTAAAGCCTTGGGTTTAAAGGAAACATTTGGAGGGGTAGGAAGGAGATGGAAGTGGCTGCAAGTGAAACTTCATTTAACACGATGACATTTTGCCTTCATGCTAGGCAACAAAACTTCTTTATGAGTCCCGGGACCAGTAAGAACAGCCGCTTGAGGGAAGACACCAGCCTCCATGGACCTGCCTCTCACTTTTTGCTAATTTGACAGCTGGTAACATTTGCTGTTCTTGACCCTTTCTCATTCCAGTGTGGTTCATTATGTAAGAACTGGCAAATGCAATGTGAGTATGAGTATTCACTATAGTGTGCAATATGTATACAATTAATGCTTTAAACAGCCTCACCTTTTAAGACTTTGTATATTTTGTTAAGCCTTTATTGGCACTTAATATGAAAGTGACCTGCACTACAGCTAATGTACAGCACAACTTTTATAGTAACAATTATAAATACTGTTTGCTACAAAAAGCAAACAAATGTGTATGTCTCTTCTGCAGAGAATAGCTTTTGGGTATAGATCTCAGGTTTTTCCCTCTATCCAAATGTTTAAAATCGATGTACAATAAAATCTGCCTTAGATATGATTTTATAGAAATCACTTGGGTTTTAAACATTTCATTTTAAACATATAAATACTTCACCAAATACCACCAAATTGGACTTACATGAACATGACCTTGAAACTTAACTTCTGTAATAAATAAGCTTCCAGAATAATTTTTAGTTTTGTATTTTCTTTTTGGTAACTAGCTTTTGTTAATCTAACTGTAATGCTAGCTGAAATTGTATACAATTTAATGTACAAATATGAATAAATTAATTCACTTATTTAAAAGAATGAAGTGATATTTAATTTCACAATATATAACTTCTTTAATGATGGATGCTGCGGTCTCTACTCTCTGAAACTTTTGACTTCTTATAAACAGCACCCTAATTCTAGTTCTAAGTGTTGATAATTGCTTCAACTATTGGCATGAATCATTTGGCTACACCTGCTGAGCCAAGTGTCTTTCTCCCCTCTGTCTTCCTATGCTGGTAAAAATTGAGTAAACAAGCACACAAGGCTCAGTTGTCAGCTTATGTTTAAAGGACCCTTGAGAGCTTTTCCAGACAAATACTAATTTGTCACAGTTGGAATACTGGTGTAAGGAGGTTCCAAAACTGTTTAGCAAGTTGTTTTCTGTGCAGCTGGTGAAACAGTGAGGAAACTTGAGTAACAGATAGAACAGGGCAAGCTAGAATTAGTCTTTACATAGACTATGACCAAAGGCACGTCTACTTTGGCTACCTATGTAAAAATACTGGAGAATGCAGCCATACCTTAGCAGTACTTTATTGTGCACATTTACATGTTCTCTGAATTAGTGTATCATAGGCTCTTGAAATCATCACGTTCATGTAGCAAATTCTTCAACAATAATACCCTTTCACTTTTCACCACAATATATACAGTTAATGCTAACCTGTGGTAAAAGCAAGTTACAGCACTGCAGAAATGGATATATAAATTATACACAGAACTTGTACATGAAGAATTAATCAAATTGCATACTGTTAAATGGGAGAAGATTACAAGAAATACAACTAAAACTTATAATGGGAAATTCAAAATATACTTTTGGTATATAAAATCATGTACAATTAAAATTCCAGTGAAGTGCTTTTTTTTTAATTATTTTTTGCTTGAAACTACAATGTAGTGGAATAGGTTATTGCATAACTTGCCTTGGCAACAGCTGTAGGCTGCCAAGAACCACAGAAACTGTCCTCAAATAAGATACTGCCTTTCTTAAATCCTTCTCTAAACCTTGTTTCTTTCTTCTCCTTGACTTAGCATCTACGCAGCCCTCTTACTACTTCTATCCAGTCCTTCATATTTTCTTCTAGACTGACTCAGGCAGACTTCAGATTACACAGTATAACCCTTACCAGACTCTTACCCTTTTCAACTATTGCACTTTCATCCATGCAGACGTACAAATCCCTTAAGCTGCTGCAAGTTCGGTACTGTTTTGTCCAGGATGGACAAGCCCAGGTGGTTAGTAGGGGAACCTTTATATTAGTAGAGGTAACACTGGTGCTGTAGGCTGAATAATAAGAAAATAAAACACCAAGTGAAATATTGTGTAGGGATTTTGAAAAGTGTACAAATACTGTTGTTTTGTTAGTTCTCTACCTTGATTCTAAACGCAAATAATACTAGATGCTAGACTATGTAAAGCTTTTGTTGGGGTTGTCTGACTAGGATTTAAGTGTATAGCATGTTACCACTTAAAATCCTAGCCTTCATCAAGCTTTGGTGACTACTTAATTATGCATGTAATAGGTGAAGATCTTGTGTCATAGAACCCAAAGAGGTGATTAGTAATGAGAACTCAACATTCACTGGTATTGAACAAAATATCCAGAATCCTGACATGGGACAGTTACTGTGGGGTTGGAGCAAACTGGACAGCATATCTGCACTCTGGAAATGACACCTCTGAACATTTAACACAAGAAAGCTCCTACCATGGAACTTTAACTTAAAACACTGCTTTAGACGATAGTTGGCGCAACACTGTAGGTAGTGGAGGTATCGCTCTCCTCATCAGTGGTGGGTCACATAAAAACGATCCTCATTTACAAACTGCAGATCTTGAAAATTGTGGATGCTGTCCATTTAACAAGAGAAAGCACCATTAAAACTAAATATCATAGTTTTATTTCTCTGTGTGAAATGATCAGAAATGATGGCTCCAGTGTATGTTTTAAGTTTCCAGTTACCAGCATGGTATTGCACTGTTGTACAACTGAATTCAAGCAAGGGTTCGCTGTCTGGGTTTTATTCGTGGATATAACTGTAAAAACAGAATAAAAATATTAGGCTTTGCATGGTTGATAACAAGTTAAATATAAATCAATTCAATTATAACCAAGGGGTACTTGTTAACAAGAACTGGCTGATGAAGTGTTTTGGGGGTGAGGTTTTTCTAAGCTACAGTATTTTCTTAGGTAACTTCTGAAAACTTAAACCAGAAGCAGCAGGAGGCTGAGGTCTGACTTACTCCTGCCAAGAGCAGCAGAAATGCTGCTCTGAAAATGACTTCATTCATTTAGCTCAAGATCCCAGACCAGACCGAAGGATGCTTTTATGTGAGTACAAGAATTCCCTGTTGAGCTCTACAGAGAGCTTATTTCCTGCTCTGTAAGATTTTCTTACGCATTTTGTCCTCTGTATCTCTACATGGTAGCCTTCCATTCCTGGTCTCTCATGACAGCAGCGTTCCATTTGACTGAGAGCAGCATAAACAACTTGCCTATGGTTGTCATCTTCAAGGCTCTTCCCTGTTTTAGATTTGTACGTATCTGTATGTTGCTTATCTTGAGCCAGGTATTAAAAACCTTCCTAAAGAACTTCCTGGGCCAAAGCTTCGAGCTGCCTAATAAAGCCACTGCACTTTACATAGGAGCCCTGTATTTTAGGCAAGGGGAAAAAAAAAATCTTACTAAAGATGAAAGTATAAACCATATTAAATAAATACACTAACTTGCCAAATAAAAACCAGCACTAATCTCCTAGCCATAGCTGCTCCTTTTTGTTTACAATGACAGAGAGGCCAGAGAGAATACAGATAATCTGCCTTGCACCACTTCATAGCAGTGTATCCAGATGACGCACAGAGCGATTCTGGCCAAAGACCCATCCTGTGTTTCCACTTCAGGAGGAAGTAGAAAATAGAAGGGACAAGGTAACTTAAAAAGAGCTTACCCCAAGAAGATTTTTAGGCACGTAGCCTTCTTTATCATTGAGGCGGGCCCACCACCACTCTGTTTCATTGTCATCCTTGCGTCTTAGAATAGTAATGGCATCGCCTTCATGGAATGACAACTCGTCACTATTCTGGGCTTCATAATCCCACAGAGCATACACCACTCCTTTATTCATCACTCCCAACTTCTCCTGCACTCCTGTTAACAACAAATTAGAGAACACACTAGATGACAAAATATCCTATTTTTCCCTCTTGAGATTTTTAGTATGGAACACTGTGGGCCAAATATTAGTCTTTATTATTAGTAATAAAATTTCATGAACAATTTTCAGTACTTCCATGCTGAAATACTTTCAGAAATTAAACTGCACGACAAACCCACATTTACAGAGTATTTTAAACTGATTTAGAGTATGAGGTTTTTCTCTCTTATTACATATGCAATAGAAACTTTACAATCTTTTATTCAAATGAGGATAAAAATAGCTTTACAAATGTTTGAGCAAAGCAGTTTTATAGAACTGCTATATTTTTCTCACAGGCCTGCTTTCTACAGAAGGCCTTATACAGTAGCACTTGAAGCTTTTGAAAATCTGCACCATGTGAAGTATATAGAGCCTTAATGAAGCTTATATCCTGTGATGTAAATTAAAAATTTGTCTGTTGCATCAAGATACTTTTCTTGCAAAATATGTCTTAGTAACTAAGTACATTCTGTAAGTTAATTATTCATAAAGTATACATGTTTCTTCATGTGACCTGCTAGAAATTTGGGTATCTGGAAGTTGGAGTATCTCTATCAAGATACTTCACAATTCATGGTTACTGTCAAAACCTCCCCATGGAAGCATTTCCTTGAAATTAAGCCAAATTAGACTTTAAAAATCTGTAACATTAGAAGGAGCCTGGGAAGTAACTCAACAGAAGGACTATAAGCAACATAATAATGAAAAGACTATTCTGTTTTTAGCATTTTGAAAGAACAGGTAGGTGACAGGCAGTATTATCAAGTTGGGGGCCTAAGCAGATGTTTCATGCAGATCAGACACACAAAAGGGATGAATTTTGGAAAAGCTAAAAAAGTTTGTGAAGTAGTGTCACAGCTTACCGTACAAGAACTGGGAACACTGAATATAACCTTCTTCCATCTCTTCACACTTGTCTGCAGCAGTTTCTATATCACTTATAGTTGAAGCAAAAATAGCTGCCCCAGATTCAACCAGTAGTTTACAGAGATGAACACTATTGCAAGAAGCAGCACAATGCAAGGGTGTCCTGAAATAAAGCAAAAATGTACACTTGAAAGAACAAACTTCCATGAATCCTAACTATTTTGTCTTGCAGTACAGAGTTTAGCCTATTTTTAAAGGAAATTTTTATGATTATAGTATATGTATGCATTGTCCAAAACCTGTCAAGCAACTGGAGTGGATTCCAGGATTTACCTGACTCTAGTAAAGCCAAACATTATAAGAGATGCTAGCAAAAATGTCAATTTTCATAGCTTACAAAACTGCTGGGTATAAAAGGGTATTTGCTGCCAATATGCAGACATTTGAAAGGTAAAACAAAGGTGAGAGGTGAAACAGATCAGCATACCAAGGTTTCACATCCCCTCCAAATGCTTCAGAAGTGTTCTACATCTATCTGTAAGGCTAGATTCTTCAAGAACACCAAAATCTGTGGTGGGTTATGTGAAGATGAAACTTAAACAAATTAACTTTTGGCATTTTTTATTTACAGTTTAATTATTTCAGCATCTGAACAAGAAATGCAACTATACCACCAAGTAAACCCAAAATGTAGTATACTTTATGATTTAAGTGTGCTTGCACATGAGTTGAACACAGTGTAACCCCACATTTGAGTTCATCACCACCTAGAAATTACAACGTGCTCATTTGCTGGGGGTAAAGGGGAAGGAAGTTGTTCCCAAAACAGGAAACGGGTCTTGACTAAATTTTGAATGAGCATCAAAATGGTGTTTCTCCCAGATACTAAGTTAAAAATCTTGACACTTACCACCCATCACTATCTGCTGCATTTACATTTACACCAAAATCAAGCAGGAACTTCA